GGAGAGAGAGTGAGAGTGAGAGTGAGAGGAGAGAGAGAGAGAGAGCGCGAGAGAGAAGAGAGAGAGAGAGAGAGAAGAGAGAGAGAGAGGAGAGAGAGAGAGAGAGAGAGAGAGAGAGATAGAGAGAGAGAGAGAGAGAGAGAGGAGAGAGAGAGAGAGAGAGTGATAGAGAGAGATAGAGAGAGAGAGAGAGAGAGAGAGAGAGAGAGAGAGATAGAGAGAGAGAGAGAGAGAGAGAGAGAGAGAGAGAGAGAGAGAGAAAGAGAGATTGAGGAAGGGAGAGAGAGAGAGAGAGAGGAGGAAGGGAGGGAGGGAGGGAGGGAGGGAGGGAGGGAGGGAGAGAGGGAGGGAGGGAGGGAGGGAGGAAGGGTCGGAGGGAGGGAGGGAGGGAGGGAGGGAGGGAGGGAGGGAGAGAGAGAGAGTGAGAGTGAGAGAGAGAGAGAGCGAGAGAGAGAGAGAGAGAGAGAGGGAGAGAGAGAGAGAGAGAGAGAGAGATAGAGAGAGAGAGAGAGAGAGAGTGAGAGAGAGAGATTAAGTGTGTGATGATTTGGAATTTCATGCTGATTTGACGAAATTGGGCGATGGGCAAAAGGGATTTCGGGAAGAGCGGGGACTGGGTGGTGGTGGAGGAGAGGAGGGAGGGTTCTAATGAACGAAGAGGCAATCGTGATGATTCTGAGGCCGTTAATTTTTTCAGCGACTTATGCTTCAGGAAGCCTCGGCCAATCAGATTTTGCCGATCGATCTGATCGGATAGCCTAAATCTGGACGGAGGGAAATCTAGACCTCCCTAAATTTGGCAAAGGGCCGATTCCCCTCACACATCCCCCAGCACGCGCTAGCCCTAAATTTGGCGAAGGGCCAACAATCCCCCTTACACCCCCCCGATACACTCTAGCCCTAAATTCCGTCATGGGTCGACAAATGCCCTCACACATCCCCCAGCACACATCGAGCAGGGGAAACATGCGGATTTTACGGCCCAGGGCCCCGAACAGAAGTCACTATTACATGTAACAGGGTAAGCCCCCTATATTGCGCCGAGGCAACAGTGCCTACTACACTGGTAACGCTGAAAGTTCAGAGCTTACTTTTAAAAAAAAAACCCTGAAATTTCAGGATTGTGTCCTAAAAAAACCCTATCGCATCAAGGTTAGCCCCCAAAAATTTCCTTTATTATTCTCTGAATCAGGGTAAAAAGCCTGCAATCGTAGGCCCTGCTTGAGATCCTCGGGAAAGGGTAACAGGTGCAGAGCCTGGGGGTTTATGGGCGCACTCATTCGCTCAGTGGTTAGTGATTGAGTTCTGACATGGTATCAGAGCCAAGAGATTCTGGTTCAATTCCCAGCACCAGCGCTGCAGAGGCGCTTGTGTCTTCCGCCTATCCCAGCGAGGGGGGGTGTCGAGAGACCCGCTAGGGTTGCCCTTGAGATCCTCGGGAAAGGTTCACAGGTGCAGAGCCTCGGGGGTTATGGGCACACTTACCTGCTACTTAACAAGCCCTTTTAACTTAGTGGTTAGTGACAGAGTTTTTATAGTAAGTGCGCCCATAACCCCCAGGCTCTACACTTGTGACCCTTTCCCGAGGACCAAGGGCAATCCCAGCGTGAATCTTGACACCCCCCCTTGCTGGGATAGGCGGAAGACACAAGCGCCTCTGCAGCGGTGGCACTGGGAATTGAACCCGAGTCTATTGGCTCTGATACCATGTGAGAACTCAGTCACTAACCACTAAGTTAAAAGGGCTTGTGAAGTAGCGGGTAGGTGCACCCATATTCCCCCAGGCATAGAGGCCTGTAGCCCTTCCCCGAGGATCTCAAGGGCAACCCCAGCAAGTCTCTCGACCGGTTGTCACATAGAGAAAGAAGCCGACATTCTTCAGTACCCTTTTTTCTATATGTTCAGAGGATTTTGTACAGGTTTCGGTTGCTAACTAGGAGTGTACCAGCAAAACTGCAAACCTGCAAGCTTGTAGGCAAACCCAGGTCCGGAAATGTTACGGTACTATATGATGTTTGATGTTTCTGTCAACGATACTAACCACTAAGTTAAAAGGGCTTGTGAAGTAGCGGGTAGGTGCACCCATATTCCCCCAGGCATAGAGGCCTGTAGCCCTTCCCCGAGGATCTCAAGGGCAACCCCAGCAAGTCTCTCGACCGGTTGTCACATAGAGAAAGAAGCCGACATTCTTCAGTACCCTTTTTCTGTATGTTCAGAGGATTTTGTACAGGTTTCGGTTGCTAACTAGGAGTGTACCAGCAAAACTGCAAACCTGCAAGCTTGTAGGCAAACCCAGGTCCGGAAATGTTACGGTACTATATGATGTTTGATGTTTCTGTCAACGGGTTTTTTTATGCTTCAGTTCATCTGCACAGGCATCATTCCACTTACTCGTGTTCTTCCCATTTCCTGGTATGCATGTATGTCAGGGTGCCAGTGTAGATGGTAGACTACCATTGAACAGTTGTCTGCTACACTGTTATTATACACATTGCATTGCAGCCGCGCTTTGACACACATTGTACTGCATTGCAAGAGCA